ATGTCTTCAATTTTTTATTCACAGAAACTGAGAAGTATGAAATATCTGGGTGCCAAACCTGGTAATAAGAGCTAATTATAGGGAAATTCATGGGGCTTACTTAACTCAGTATCTAAATGAGGCCATGATGTTTTTTCCCCTAGTCTTAGCAGGAGGTTGAGGGGTATTGGTCTAAATATGTTGCAACATACACCAAACAAATCAAATAAATCCAGTATATACGCTCAAGATTTAAGAAAAATGTCTGGGGGATGGAAGATGTATGCAGTCCTTCTACTCCAAGGAGTAAAGATGTTTTTCCAATTCTATCCCGGAAAACTGTAGAGTGTAGTTCTGTTTGTATGTTTTTTACTCCTAAGACTACGGGTCACAATTTTCTAGGATACAATATCAATTGGGTTATTGTTGTATCCCGGAAAATTGTGACCCATAGTCTGAGGAGTGAAACAACGTACACACAAATCTACACGCTACAATACTTTCGCTGACTCTCTCTCTCTCTCTCTCTCTCTCTCTCTCCCTCTCCTTCTCCCTAATGTGCCCGTGAGTAGCACAACTACTTGAATCACATCATCATCACCATCATTGTCATAATTTTCAACAGGTTTTCTCTGCCCGTTTGTTCCATTTCTGCCCATCACCAGCATACTTGTGAACACATATCTGCTGATAAACATCGGGTAACGATCACTACTCTCTTTCTCACACACCTATAGAATCTTATCGTCGTGTATGTTCAACACTAGACTAGAGTAAAAATAATGATACTCAAATATCTGATTTTTAGGGGCACAACTTGGATCTGTGTCCTGCTATGGTTGGCAGCTGGAGTTTTGGTTTACGCTCTCTATGGCCGAACTCATAGTTTACTATAGATGCCAAGGTAACATTACACACACACACACATACATACATAACATGGCTGACATCTTAGAAGATGCATTTTCTGTATTGTGCATACTTAGGAGATTAGAGATTGAACTTCTGGATGATCTTTACCTCCTTGAAGGTGGATATGGTCTTTGTTTCTCAGTCTCACCGTTTTGTTGTATGTGTATAAATATGTTCTGTGCTATAAAACTTGTATTGTAAAACAGTGTACATACCGGACGAAGAATGACTATCTTGTTTGACTTTCATGGAGTTTTATGCGGAAATTTGTGTAACTGTCCCGTGAAGTATACTCGTATTTGTTTTGTTAATGATAGAATTGATTAGCTTAGAAGGATTTATTCGACATTTTCAAACAAAAGATACTCCCTCTAGTCCCATATATAATGAAATCACTCTAAATCTCTAAATAGAAATAAACCATAGAGAAAAATATCAAAATAAGAGTTTCGTGTTTGTATTCGCAAAATAAGAGTTTGCATTGTGATAATTTGACAATATATATAGACATTGCACGATACTTTTTGGTACTCTGTATTATATATTGGCATTGTATATACATATTAACTTGTATTTTGGGAATAAAAGTATGAAATTGCTATTTTGGTATACTACCTCCATTCCGGAGTATTTGTCCACTTTTGACTTTTTTCAGTCAACCTTTGACCTGTATATTGTGTATTATTTAGATAAAATAATATTATGAAAATTTTTTATATGATAAATTTAATTAAACTATTTTTGTATCAATATCTAATATCTACCAATTTTGACAAAAATATTCAAAAATTTGGTTCAAATCTGAAAAATGCTATTCGTTTATGTTTCAGAATACCAACATACTACGTAGTATTTTTCTCTGGTTCCTAAAAAAATGTGCACATATTATAAGTTAAATTTTTAAGAAAATCAAACATATAAAACATGATGAAATGTGAAATGTATGATTATACGTATTTTAAAAATATAATCTCTACTATACAGGAACACATGAATTGACATATTATACTCATATACCAATAAACTAATAGAAGTGAGCATTAAAAGCAATTAGAGTGGTAATCCTATATGGAGAATGGAAGAACATTTGCCTGAGACTATATATCCACACGGAATAAACTTTTGTTGGATAAGCATTTAAATGAATTCAAGCATTTAATGAGATCCCGTAGTATTAGTATGCTGAGTATTTTGATGCTTCCCAAGCTAACACACAGACACATAATATGGGGTATGTGTCTGTATTACTTTGCTATATAAATGGGGTACCTTTGTTAGTGTACCCTAAACATTACTTCCAATATAAATAGGATTAAAACCTTAAACTTATATGGAATATTGGAAAAAGGTGTAATGGACATTATCCACTAGCATGATGCCTTTATAGCGCCCCCAACACCCCCCCTATCAGCATTATAACTAAAATACAAAAGATGCCAGTATATACATATAGCGACTCACATCTCCCCCTTCTCTCTCCAATTCTCTAATCATATATATTCTCTTTTACATTTAATTTAATTAAAAAATTTAAAATATTGACAACAATATAATTATTAAGCCATAACCAAAATACAAAAGATGGCGATATATACATATAGCTCCTCACATCTCCCCCCCTCTCTCTCGAATTCTTTTTATGAACAAAGTGCAAATTTTATTCAATAGATAAAAATATAATATTCAGTCCTCAAGCTCTTACATTCATCAACTTGATACTTAAGATACTCTATGCACATTCTAGCCGAAATAGCTTCTTTCCCATGGACAAATTGATTCCTTGCTCTCCATCTTAAATTTGGAAAGCACAAAAATATAGACTTGATACTTAAGATACTCTAAGCACATTCTAGCCGAAATAGCTTCTTTCCCATGGACAAATTGATTCCTTGCTCTCCATATAGCATAACAACAAGCATTGAAGATAGTAGTTTCGTGTCCTTCCTGTTTTTACGAGAGTCCAGCATCTCCTCAACTTCTCTTAGTGCTTGCACCTTGATGTCCACCCCTACCCAGGTAGATACCTCATAAAGAATTTCTGTAGCATACTGGCACGAGCAGAATAAATGGTCCAGGTCTTCACTTTTTCCATAGATACCACACCTTGTGTCTAATTGCATGAATTTGCTCAGTCTGCTTTTAGTTTGAAGCCTTCCCTTCCAGATTAGCCAGGCCACTATCTGATGCTTGGGTTGAGTCCAATTATTCCATTCTGTATTATCCAAACCCACTTTTGGTCTCTCTCCCATAAGCCAGTTATAGCCATCCTTATTGGTATACTCACATCTCACAAGCATGTTCTTGAATTCATCCCTTACCTTCAAAAGCTTTTTCCTGAAGCATTTATCCCCTTTGCTCTCATACTACATTGTGTCTTTTTTTTACATACCTATGATGCATCCATCTAACCCAGAGGATATCATTTTTATTGGCAATATCCCAAATCAGCTGCATAGCATTAGCTTTATTCCATTTGATTAGATTCTTCAGGCCTAATCCTCTATTTGTCTTTGGTTGACAGACATCTTCCCATGCTATCGGGGCATCTCTTGTACATGGGTGAGGAACCCTAAATAAAATTTCCACACACTTCTTGAATCCTTTTCATGACCTTGTTTGGTATAGCGAACATTCTGAACCGGAAAGCTACAATACCAAATAGGACATAGTTGATCAATCTGATCCTACTTGCATAGGAAAGGTGCTTAGTCACCCAAGAGTTGATTTTTGTAGTAAGCTTCTCCACCAGTCTATCACCTTCTCTCTCCAATTTTCCAATCATATGTATTTTCTTTTACATTTAATTTAATTAAAAAACTTAAAATTTTTAATAACAATGTAATTATTAAAGGATGTATGACTACACTATTTTTAAGATATAGGGTCCCTTGATGAGGTGATTGTCACGTAGCGAACAAGGACACCATCCCTCTCATACGATATTTTTCTCGGATCCCACTGAGTTGTTGTAAATAAGGATATGTTCTCTTTAACTTATTCTTATAACTTACTTTTTTTATTGGAATTAGATCAGACCAAATTAGACCAGAAACAAAATATAACTACAATCAGATCAGACTAGATCAAATTAGATCAAAACTTCTTTCAATCATATCATGTGGAAAGAACATAGCCTAAGAGTGTCAGCACTATACAATGCCATAACCTGACATGTATGCTGGCATTTCATATTTTGTTTGTCAATATATATTGACATTATAAGTTTACTTTGACATTAAATACTAAATTAAAAGATGTTCAAAAGAAAATTAGAAAGAAAATTATGCAAAAGCACATTAGAATCATTTTTTAATGCAAAAGACGTAGTGGTCCAATGACATCATTGAGGATCTACCAAATAGGAGATCACAACTATTAACTTTTTTATTCCATTTTATTAAAAATTATGCTAAGTCAAATTAAGAAAACAATTATTACGAGATAAAAGAAGTACCCCTTTATCCTAAATTGGATTATAATTTTTCATCTAGAGCATCAATACTCCTCCTCCCACATAATTTACTTCCAATGCGAGGTCACTTTCTCCTTCAATTTTTTCCACGATTTTCTAATTATTCTTCTATTTTTTATTATCAAATAATCAATGATAATACAAAAACAAACAAAAGTTATCGAGAAGTAGGATTCAAGAAAACTATAATCCAATTTAGAATGGAGGAAGTGTATTTTACTTTTCAAAGTGTGAAGAGTTTTATACGAGACAAAAAATAAACTCTTTCCGTCCAAAAAAAATGTCATAGTTCATTATTAATGATTTATTTGTACATTTTTATCGATTATTTTATAAAATTAGATATTCTCATCACTTTTTGTTTTGAATTAAAAAAAATATAAAATTTTATTATGTTTTGCCGTTTGCGTTCAGAGAACTTTTTTTCTTTTAGAAATTAGAATCTCCAAATTGGCTCCCACTGTCAAATCAAACCGCTATAATTCAATTATGGACGACTAGAGATTGTTCAGTACAAATTGATGGAATTTGCAGCCCCACAGGGTTGAGCGCGCCTTGCCTGCCCAATCGGTGTCCCATTGAGAGGTTTGCCTGACGAAAAATATCATCTTTCTCAGCCCTCTCTCCTCCTCTCGCCGGCAAAGGCAGCTCAACCCCACCGCCGCCCGNNNNCCCCCCCCCCCCCCCCCCCCGGTTTTCTTGGACGATACACCCACTTTCCGATAACAAAGATATATAGGTCAATTTTTTGAATAGAAAAAAAGTTGGCAATCGAACAGTTGCCATGGGATTTATCTCCGATAGGCAGAGCAGCGGTGGCTGCGGCGACGGGGGTGGGTTTTCCGGTGGATTGAGATGCATCGTGAGGAGGAAGCGGGTTGATTCTGCCGTTTCTACTCATTCCAAGTCGTCCTCTTCTTCTTCCCCTCATTCGTCTTCTTCTGGGCATGTTAGAGACCATCAGTTGGCCAAGGCTTTGACCGTCCCTCATCTCATCGCTATAGGTAATTAAATTCATTGGGCTGTACTCCCAGATTCGGATTTGGCAGCTTTTTTTTTGTTAACTTCCATTTGCTCAAGGATTTGTAATTATTGTTCCCCTTTGATCGGTGACTCCTCTCTCCTGCTCCATGTACTCGTGTTTTTTTCCCTTGTTGTATAGATTTCTTCTATATGTTTTTCTATTAATAGAATGAAATAAATTTATGAAGGTTTTCTACAATTTTTTTTACTAATATCCAATACAAATTTTATTTAATTGATGATTGAAGTTTGTCTATTTTGATTTGAAAAATTCCAATTGGACGAATACTCTTGGGATAGGTAATATGTTATAAAAAAGCTTTATTAATGGAGTATAAGGATTTCTGTTGGATGCCTAAAAAAAATGTTTTTTTTGCTTGCTTATATAGATTTGAAAGGAGTCAGTTCTGTACTCTATCAGTTAAAATGATTTTATTTCTACAACAGTATCAAAACGGAGGTCCAGATGGTCTAGTTAAATTGGTTTATTAACTTGTAAAAATGGAGTGGTACCATCACTATTAGTGATACTGATGCCTGCAAATGATGCTTAATGATTAGGGTTGTGTTTATGGTGTAGGTGTTGGTGCAACAATAGGGGCGGGGGTATATATTCTTGTCGGGACAGTTGCCAGAGAGCATTCTGGGCCGGCCCTAACATTCTCCTTCTTAATAGCTGCTATAGCCGCTGCTCTTTCTGCCTTCTGCTATGCCGAGCTTGCTAGTAGGTGCCCCTCAGCTGGGAGTGCATATCATTATTCTTACATATGCGTCGGGGAAGGGTATTGCCGCCATATACTCTCTCAAGAATCTTTTTTTTTTTCAGGATATGATACTTGATGAGAATGGTGACTTTTGTTTTTGTTTGGGGGGGGGTGGGGTGGGGGGTGGGACCGCTTTGAAACCAAAGGGTGTAGGGATCAGCTCACCCCTGTGCATGTGACTATGATCTCTATATTTGCTCTTTTTGGTGTTGATTATTTTGGTCCTACTAAGTCTAAGCTGATACGAGTCATGAAAGGATATTGCATAGAAAATAGATACTAGGCCCTTCCATCTTTATACAAACTTTTTTCTTTCCTTTTTTGGATGTCCCAAAATAATTTTCACTCTTTTTAACACTATGTTTGGTTCAAGGAATTTGAAAAAGAAAATAAAAAGGGATGGAAAATAGTTTCTCTTGTTTGGTTAGGGAGGAAAAGAAAAGTGGAAGGAAAAGAAAATGAGAAGGCAAAATGTACTAAGAGGAAGGAAAACCAAAATTTTCCCATTTTTGATGAGGAAAATGAGAGAACTTTTTTTTTCTTTTCCTTCCAAATTCCTTGAATCAAACATAGTGTAAAAGGAAAGAATTATGTGATACAAAATTTATTCTCTCCTCTCATCAAATTCTAACTACTTGTTCACTTTTCAACACTTTTCATAAAATCCGTGAAAGTCAAGCAATGAAGTTTATATAAAGACGGAGGGAGTAGCACACTATAATACTTACATAGTAACCCAACAAAGGAAGGATATTCCACAATATTGATTAATTACTCGCATTGCATGCACAATTGTGATAGAGATGGGAATCTGCAAGCCATGTAATTTATAAATCTTTTTTATTCATTATTTTATTAGAATTAGAAGAGTAAGCCATAATATAACTTAATAAGATCCCAAACTGTATGAGCTCGGGCTGTGCTCCCCATTCTAACAATGGATTGGGCGTGTGTGGATACTAGATGTACTCCACGAGCTCTAATTAATCATATAACTACCTCCAGTTGATCTTCTTCTGAAGCAAACTTTGTCATTTTTTTTGAACACTTATAACTTTATTATATTGTGGTATCTATTCATGCATTCTCAACCCATTAAGCACGTAGAGTTATTACCCTCACTGGGTATCGAACATGTGACCTCTCATATGAGAGAGTCACCATCTTACTGCTAGACCACAAGGTTTGTCAGTATTAACATAGCAACAAGGCTTCAATATGTGCACACTTTTTCTAACGTAATATTTTGATCACCAATCAGAGTTGCCTGGTTGATTGGATGGGGGCTGATATTGGAGTACACAATTGGAGGTTCTGCTGTAGCACGTGGCATATCTCCTAATCTGGTGATGTGAATACTCTTTCATGGCTTCAAAGTACTTTGTATTTTTTTTAAATGCATCTTTGAATGTATATATACTGTGTCTTGTGTGTGTGCATGTATGGCTCAACTAATTTCTTTAAATATATACGGAGTACATAACTAGAAGTTTTGATCTATACTTTAATTTAACTAAAGTTAACACAATTGACTTTTTTTGACATTTTTTTTACATTCAAAACTGATATAATGAAAATTAGCATCTTTTCTTCAAATTAGTCTCTTTTGTGGGACAAAAATATGTTGGCAACAAGACTCCTTTTATGGGACATGGAGTAATAAGCTCCCCGAGGGAGGATTTGGTTAGCAGTTAGTTAGCGCTGGATTAGTTAGTCAGTCCACATGGGAGGTCCCATCCATAGCTATACTAGCTAGAGTCATTGTACAACTGAATTTACGAAGATATTAATCAAACTCCTGAATTCTCTCTCTCTCTCTCCTTCTACATCTTTTCTCCTTCTCTCCTTACCCCCTTTTTAATTCCAAGATTTCCCCTATTTATTACAAAGTCTATCTGTATAAGAAATTAAGAATCATGCCGAAGATAGTCTTTCCTAATTAGAGTGATATCCAGGTAATACCAGTGCACATCCAGTCTGTGGCCCTTGTAAGTAAGGGCCCAATGATGTTAGAAATATGTAGAGTGTTTCCGTCTATTGCAATTTGCTACAAGTTGTGCCCCTTTTAATAAAATATTATTATTATTATCATATTTGGCAGGCCTTGCTCTTTGGAGGTGGAGACAGTCTACCGGTCTTTTTAGCCCGTCACACGATCCCTGGGATTAACATTGTAGTGGACCCATGTGCGGCAGTATTAGTTTTTATTGTGACAGGTCTTTTGTGTGTGGGAATCAAGGAGGTATCCATTTTATCAAATAGCTCAATTAAACATGAAGTCATCAAGTGATTGAGTTATTGAATAAATAATCCTTTCTCAGTTGCCTCTTTGTTCTTTATCTGGCTAATGTAGCAGTTTTTTTTCAGAGTACGGTGGTGCAAGGAATTGTCACAATGGTTAATATATGTGCCATGATTTTTGTTGTGGCTGTTGGTGGATATCTGGGATTTAAAAGTGGGTGGCCAGGCTATGATCTTCCTGTTGGGTAAACGCAGTCCCTATTGAATTGTTTAATACTTTGATATCTACAGCACTATGTCTTTAATGTTAACTTGATTGGCAGGTATTTCCCATTTGGAGTTGATGGAATGCTTGCAGGGGCTTCAACCGTCTTCTTTGCTTATATTGGCTTCGATTCAGTTGCCAGCACAGCTGAGGAGGTCTTGTGCAATATACCCCCTCTGTCCCAAATTAATTGTCAATTGTCATTATTGGAATTCAAAGCATTTTTGTATACCAATCTTCCAAAGTTTTCTGTTTTATCTCTCCTTAACTCAAATGCTTTTAGTCATTTTAAAGACAAAGAGTGCATATAAGTGTTAAGAGCAAACAAGGGTAGAAGTGTTATTAAGATTCCTTAATATGTACACATTTGGGATGCAGGGAGTATTTAGTTATTAATCATTCCGCCCCCAAAAATGAGTCGTGTGTGTAATACTTAACATGTTACAAACAATACTTTTTTTTGGGTGGATGGAGTGGTATTTAAGTTTGCTTTTTTTCCCTTCTCATCGATTTTCATTTTTACCCCAGGTGAAGAATCCTCAACGTGACTTGCCAATGGGAATTGGTTTGACCTTGTCAATATGTTGCACATTGTATATGTTAGTGTCTGCTGTAATTGTTGGCTTAGTCCCCTACTATTCTATGAATCCTGATACCCCAATCTCATCTGCATTTGAGAACCATGGGATCAAATGGGCTGCGTAAGTAAGCATGTATTGGCTATGTTGTTTTTCCGGGGGTGTGGCATTTCATGCCATTAGATGTTTTATTTTGTTTAACACAATGTTCCTTGCTCATTTCACAGATATGTTGTAACTGTTGGAGCCTGTACGGCTCTTTGCTCTACGTTGATGGGTTCTCTCTTACCACAGGTACATCAATTGACTGAGGTGGTCTCCTGTGAGACAGTAAAATATGTTATACTTTTTCAAGTGAAAAGTAATACTTTCTTAAATGCAGTTTTGGATAGTATCACTTTTTATGATAAAAAAGTTCTTATAACATTTTCCGTGTCACTCAAGTTCGGCTGCAATTGAATAGGTTCGGATAGATATTCAAGTTACATCTTTAAATGGGGTTCTAGTAGGCGGTCTTTTATTTAAGCTCATAAGCTTACTTATCATCTGACCCTGTAATTAGACTGCGGTTTACATTCAACTATGGGAATGCAAATAGCATGAGGAAAAGGGTTCTTGTTATTATTATTATTATTATTGTTATTATTATTATTATTATTTTTATTATAACTACGTATTATTATTACTGTTGTTGATGTTACAACAACAACAACAACAACCCAGTTAAATCCCACAAGAGTAGGGTCTGGGGAGGGTGTGTGCACGCAGACCTTGCCCCTACTTGAAAGTAGAGAGGTCCAAAGAGACCCCCGGCTCAACGTCGAAAGTTGCATTGATTGACTAACTGCTACTTCATTAATTAAAGAAGCGCAGATAGTTTAGAGATCCATTTTGATTTATTCCATCACACCCCAAAGCCAAAAAATGGAGAAATTTTGGCTCTATCGGAGATGATGGAAATATTATTATTATTCTTGTACATATCTGTGAAATGAGCAAGGAACATTTGATGTTAATATTATTATTATTGTTTTTTCCATCATCTCCGATGGAGCCAAAATTTCACCATTTTTTGGCTTTGGGGTGTGATGGAATAAATCAAAATGGATCTCTAAACTGTCTGCGCTTCTTTAATTAATGAAGTAGCAGTTAGTCAAGCAATGCAACTTTCGACGTTGAGCCGGGGGTCTCTTTGGAAACAGCCTCTCTACTTTCGAGTAGGGGTAAGGTCTGCGTACGCACACCCTC